CTGCACCAAAACTGCTCTAAGCCGCTCTACCCACCCTGTTCAACAGCTTTGCGAAATCCTCATATTCTATTATCTTTTTAATCCGTGGCCTAAAAAATATACTGGCCCTCACGTTAACCTCAAAGAGCTTAGAAAAAAGATCTTAGAGGTATTGAAATGCTGCTGATTCCCTGTCAAGAGCAGGGACAAATTGCTTAAGAAGGCCTAATTCGATGTGCAGCTGAGAAAACGAGGAAATTTAATAAAAGCTCCTTGAAGACCAATGAGAAATGATATTATTTTGATGTCATTGATGACCTTCTATCCGTAGTCGTCATACTTTAATGCACTCAACATCATTTTAACACTGGTTAACTGGTTTACTCTGTTACATCTCTTTGAGATGTAACAGAGTATGCCAATTGAAGAGATGGGTAGTTTTTTTTATTGTAAAGACTCCGGATAAACTGTCTATGAATAGGCGCCATTCAATAAAATTACATGCAATACCTACAGAAGTACCAGTTGCTTAAGTCGTCCGTCGGCTATCGCCGAGTTCGCGGGATTGAAACCAAATGGCTCGCTTCACTCTTCTGTACCAACCTGTAACATTGCACATAATAATACATAAGAATTGTAATAGTTTGAGGACAAGAAATGTTAAAATATGGGACAATTTTAAGATGTAACGTATTTGCCTACAGTACACAATTTATGACAAATCTTTATAAATTATATCTCTTTGAAATGAACTGGATTTAAAGCAAAAAATAGATCAAAACACATCTAAGCGAAAATCAACTGTTCAGTTTACCTTCAAGTGTTTTTATGCAATATTTGCATGTGAAATGTGGTGTCCAAGATTTGTCTCGGTCCCCGACGGCAAGCCGAAATATGCTTTGTAAACCTCTTAGGTTATACGACTTGCTTCCACGGAATGCCTTTATGCTCTTGTCTTTATGAATTGTCTGCACACGTAGTAGAATGAACCAGCTGGATGCAAACAACATCTTGATATCATATAAAAATAAATAACTTCTGTTCATTTAAGAATCGTTTTCTTTTTAGTCTGCAATAACACGAATTGGAATCTTGGTTCAAGACATCTGTGCTTTTATGCTTGTACAGCTAGTATAAAACTTTCAAGAACGTTCTTGAACGTTCTGAGAGTTTCTCGAAAGTTCTAAAAGTTTCTTGAACGTTCTAGATTGTTTAGGAGAATTGCAGAAACATCACGACAACTCTAGCAGTTTAGGAATATTATAGGAAGAATTAAAACCAAATTGTAAATTTCTTGAAAACACGCGATTTTCAAAATTTCAATGTCCCGGTTACAGACGCAACGTTTTTCTGGAATAACGGCGATTTCCTTTCTGTTTAAGACCTAACGGGTTAGGAAAACACACTTTTAACTTGGGAACAAAACAAATATGAAAATTTGTTACATAGTTTAATTTATATTAAGATTATAATTTATAAAATCAAACAATATTGCAAATTGTTTAATCTGTTTAAAGTTAAGCTGTCACAAAAAAAGCATTTAAACTATGCTATTTTAAAAAATTTTTTAAATATCATGGATTGATAATAAAATATTTTTAAATAAATTTTAATAAAAAGATGTTGCTGTAATCAAAACAAATGTTTAGACACAATAAACATGTATAGGTCATATACTTTTCTCAAAAAATCGTTTTTATTGCCCTACCATCTTACTAGAATGGAACAAACACCAAAATTAAAATGGATAATAGCCTCTGGCTTTTTAGTGAGGTGAGATGTCCAAAGCCAAGAGGGATCCGTCGAGATTTATAAATTTTACTCAAATTATTTATTTTTTTCAAGTTTAAATATGAGTGAAACCCAATAAACTTAACCGGCATTTGGACATAAAAGAAACGTCTGAAGTTCAAGTTAAAAGATTTTAGGTCATTGGCGAAATTAAAACTTTCAGTATATTTTTATATGATGATGTTATAAATAAAAGGAACCACAAAAAGAAATTACTTTACATATTGGATGATCTAAATTCAAATTGCTTTAAGTATCATATCAAAAAAGACATTGTTGGGTTTTATAATAGACTATTTGAAAACGGAGTAGTTCCTCTGATAGACAAATAAGCTTGATTGATAACGTTTAAACCAACAATATTTTTAATAATTCGCTTCAAAAAATACAATATTAAAAGTGACATTATTTCCCTGTTTATATTTTCGATAAATATTTTATAGCGAAAACAATCTCTAAAAAAACAAACTTTTCATAACAAAAGCCTAAAATCTTCTAAATATAAATTATCTCTAATTAGTTGGAGCAAAATTGACTTTTTTGAAGACAATAATATACTATACAAATCCTTTTTCAAAACTTTTATATTTTTAATTTTTATTTTTTAATTGTCTTTTGAAGAGTTTGAGTGGTTTTAAATTATTAAAATGAAATAACGCAGTTGATCCTGATAATGTCAATCGAAATATTGTTAAAAGTTATTTTGACGTTTTAAAAGACATTCTTTTCCTAACTGTTCAATTAATCAGAAAGTTTTTCCTGGTTATTTAAAAATACCAAAAATTGTTCCTATATTTAAAGAAGGAGAAAATTAATGTAAAAAGCTATCGTCCAATTTCTATCCTCTCTGTTTTTTCTAAAGTTTTAGGAAGAATTGTGTACAACAGTATATCAATCACCTTTCAGCAAACAACGTATTGTATAACATGCAATATCGTTTATTAAAAAATAAAAAAATTTAACTTGCCAATATTTAGTTTACAAGAACTAAAAAAATCCTGACTCATTTAAAAAAGAAGCTGGCTCATTTAAAAATTCTAAAGTTTACAAGAACTATAGTTTACAAAAACTATAGTTTACAAGAACTATAGTTTACAAGAACTAAAAAATCCTGACTCATTAAAAAAGAAGCTGACTCATTTAAAAATTCTAAATTCACATTAGGAATTTTAATGATTTAGAAAAGCCATTTTATACAATTAATCAAACACTCTTGCTAAAAAATACTGAAGTATTATGGTGTAACAGGCAATATTTTAAAATGTTTGAAAGTTATTTAACTAATCGTAAACAATTTTTTTACTCTGACGAAATGTTTTCATCAAATTTGTTAAATATTACATGTGAAGTTCCTCAAGGATCTACATTACAACATCTCCTTTTCCTTATCTATATCAATAATTTATACAAAGCATTGGATGTTTATGTCACATAAACTATGCAAACAATGGTTGCTAATGGTTACTAATGGTTAGGGTATTATTAGTGTAAGTAATCTTGAAACTCTTTATTGTCAGCAGAAGCATGTAGCGTGTCTTATATTTAAAGACCGTTCAGCATTTTTAAATTCATAACAACTGTACAATCTTCAAGTGTATTAATTTTTAGAATGCTATGAAATATAAAAAAAAAAAATTGAAGAATACCTTAAAAAATCTTTTTTTTATTAAAGTACCTTAAATATGAAATAAATATAAACTTTTCATGCAGTATTTATTATGCTGCAGCAAGCAAAAGGTTGTATTTACATCTAAACAATGTGTAAAAAAATCTGTAATAAAACTGCATTTGAAAGCAGATTGCTGGCTAAATCTTTTATTCTGTTGTACTATTTTTAATTAAAATGATTGCATTCGTTAATTGAGTTTGAAAATAATTTTTCATCTGTTCATCAATCATCTGGGTAATTCTGTTGTAACATTTTAGCTGAACAAATTAGATCTCTTTCGACAATTTTATTAAACTTTGAGGATGCATAAAACTGAAAAGATTGGAAATTTTAAAATATTTATGTAAATACACTTATAATATTCATATAAATAGTTTCCACTTTCTCATCAAAATATTTTTTATATTTGAATTGACTCTTAAACTTAAACGTTGGTCTTATCTGCCACACGCTGCATATAAATATAGCCTCTAATTTAAATAAATTGTAGTTTAATCTTAAAAAAGTAAAAAAAGTAAAAAAGATATTATTAAATTACCAATTCTAAAAATGAGTTCTTTAAGGTATTCTTTAAAAGAAAAGTTGTTACTTTGATGAATAAAATCATCATTAAAATTTTTTAAAGTTAATTTATTCCATAAAAATGGTCCGCAAAAATCAATGCAAAATTCACTAAACTTTCTGAAAATGGGCTGCTTAATAAAATCATTATTGCGTAAAATGTATTTATTTTATTTTTTGATATTTGAAATTTGGGATGAGTTGGTTTTACATTAAAACACAAAACAAAGAATATTAAAAATATTTGGCACATATATATTAAAAACTTATATATCAAATAATAGAGATTTTAATAATAGAGATTTTGAGGTACAGTTTGATATTAAGTATGAAATGAGTTTTAATTTTTTTTTTAAGTTGTAGGTAATTTAGCGAGGTAGAGCTATTTAAAATTTATACAATTTTATAATACAAATTTTATAATACAAATTTATACAATAAAAATAATTTTTTGATTCCTAATAAACTTTACTTAAAATATAAAAAACTGTTTCATTCTACCCTCATAAATTATTTAATAGCTTAGATACTACGAATAACTTACTTAGTTAACTAACGAATAAATTACTTTATAATTGACGAACAAATTAACGAATAAATTAATGAATAAATTACTGAAAAATATTAAACTAAAAAAAGAATATTAAAGCCGAAAATTTACATGAACAAAAAATAGTTGGAGGATTTAGATTTTACCACCTAAGTCGACGAAAGTAATACATTTTTCCAAGTGCTGAATTGCTCAGTGTATAATAAGCGTATTTATTTCCGCTGTTAAATAAATAAATTAGCATAAAAATACATAATTAATATTATTAACTAAAAGACATCTACACTTCCGTTGATGACGTATTTTTTTTTCCTATTTACCTTGCTACACTTTTAATATTATTTTTCTGTTAAAAAGTAAGTTAAAATTCTAATAAGTGCAAAAATTAACAAAATAATATTCAGCAATGTTTATATAAATATAAAATAAAAAAATTCTTGTTTGGTGTTTCTAAAGGTTATCGTTGTGATTAACATTACCCGTATGTTTAAAGTCTTTAGAAAATGTTTGTTTTCCGACAAGATTTGTAAAAACCAGTTTGCCAATAAAAAATGATGCAAGGGTGCCGATAAAACAAATATACAAAAAATAAAGAGCTACTTTAGGAGAACCTAGAGTACCAAGTGTACATAACAAAGACCAAAATGGTACATTTAATGTTTTGAATAAAATATAAGCATGTTGACGTTGGTTTTCTTTAAAAGAATTAAGTTTTGCCCATTGATGCAAATATTTTTTTTTCATCATTAAACCGTAAAGCAAGATAAAAATGTTTGCGATACTTGACCAAAATATTATCAATGATGCAAATCTTATACCAACTTTTGAATTTACATTTTCCTTTGTTGCAAACTTCAAAGCCATATTTGCACCTAACGGAGAGAGACACGTAAAGGCAAGAAACGTTTTTTGAAGGTATAACATAACAGTTGATACTAAAGAAAACAAATGTAAAACAGTATGATTGATGTACCACAATGTTGATACCATAGCAAAAGTGGTAAGAAATTTGAAAAATTCAGACTTCATGTGGTTTAACTCGTAGTTCAGGCCGTGCTCACGAACGTTGTTTTTTATAGGAAACTCTTCAGTAGTTATGTCCAATATAAGTAGGCACGCAATAATTGCGATAGCAGCGTCACTCATAACCTCAACACGTTCTTTTGAAATATTTCCTTTAAAAAAGTATGTATAAAAAGGATGGATTTTTCTTTTTGTTAACAAATCATGTCGCCGTAAGATATAGAATACAAGCTTGATTAGAGTCGGCATTATTGTGAGGATTGCGATAAACACCCAAGATATTACGTAATGAACTAAACAAAGGACTCCACCAATAGCCAGCAATATTATACTTAAGACAGGTTTTGCAATAAAAACATTTCGAAACCGAGCTAAATCAGCTTTGGACCATGATTGAAGTTCAATATGAAGGATATGCGGTGTTGCCATTGCATAAAGGATCATTATTACATTCAAAAGTTGAATAAAACCCAAAACACTGAATGTGACAATAATCGAAACTTTCTCATAAGGAAAATGACCCTGAATAGCCAAAGAAAACGGTAGCACCGTGGTAGCCAACAACTCCAAAATGATTATAACGATTATAAAATCATCGACACGCTTGATAACTGTTGCTCTAATGTTCATGTTTTCCCAAATAGTTAGTACGATTATAAATCCCAAAAAGAACATTACAATCTCCGCACGGATTTTGAAAACGAATTCTGAAAGTGTTTCATTTTTCTCTATTTCTTTCAAACTTTTAATTGGTAGAGCGAGAAAAGTTGCGCATGTTGCCATGACAGCATCACAATAACCAAGCATACGGTTAGACGATACAACATCGCCGCGGTGAAAATTATCAGGAAGAACCTCGTTTATGTAACTTTCGTAATGCTCGTCTAAGTGTTTTAAATCTACTTCTTTTTTATGCGATTCGACGTTCTGTATTTCGTTCTTCATCTTGTATTTAATTTTTTAATCAAACTTCAATCGTTTTTTTATATGGAAATAAACAAAACTATTTTTTAAGGGTTTACGTAATTGCTATTTTTTTCTAATTGTAAATAAAAGTAAAAGCCTAATTAAAACAAACCATTGCTTAATCAAAAACTAGTTAAATGTCTAACGACTTATTGTCGTCTTGAACGTAAAGGAAGTATCGATTTATTTTTTTGCAATAAAATCTTTCTACGTCATACTTTTAAAACATTTTTAACGTATATGCTTAGAGACACACCACACTCACAACAAAGGAGGGGGGGGGTTCTTATTTATTTTTTCGTTTAATGACATAAAATTAAAAAACTTTAACAAACTGAAATTGATGGCAATATTTGAAATAATCGCAATATTATTGAAAAAATAAAAAACACAGGCAGCACGATTCCATTAAATATTACGTTTTACAAGAGTTCTTTCGTAATAGTTTACTTTTTCCAATTAATACGTAATAAATAAATTTTAAGTTTTAAATGATTAATAAAAGTTTAAAATTTTGGCGGTCAATTTATTTTGGCGGTCAATCACTGACTAAATTGTATGGATATTTGATGTTAATGATGGATTGATGGAAATGATATTTGATATAAATTCCGTATTTGTATCTATGTTTGCTTTAGAACTGTTTAAGCTAATCAGGTAAAATATTAGCCAGGTGAATGGATGTGGATGGGTGAGTGGGAATAAATAACTTTCAAGTTTTTAGAAATAAAATAACCCCCTTATCAGACCATTTTTTTACTTTTCCAAGCGTTATAACAATGCGATTATATCAAATACAATTTTTATATGATTATCATTAATAATATTTCTTCAAAATCTAATATATGCCAGCGGCAAATTAATAAAAACAACTCCAATATCTTTAAAAAAATTTTATTTTTTAAAGATATTGGAGATATAAAGGATTTAAACGCTACACTTTATGAGAAGTTACCAAAACAATATCGCTGTAATGATCAGCTGTACTTGTTGCAAAAAAATGAATAGCTTCCACTTAGGTTTTTTTTTTGTTTTTTTTTGACGCAAACTGTTGCTTTTTGTACGCGTATATTTTCAAAATAAATTAAAAATTACTTTTAGTAATTTTCAATATTATTAATATTAGGAATAATATATAAAATATTGTAATTTAATATTTTAATTAAGAGCAAAAAAAAATAATTTTAGTTTATAAAAAATGATTATACAGCAGCCGTGGCGCAGTAGTAAGTAAGTAAGCGCAGTAGTAAGTAAGTAAGCGCAGTAGTAAGTAAGTAAGCGCAGTAGTAAGTAAGTAAGCGCAGTAGTAAGTAAGTAAGCGCAGTAGTAAGTAAGTAAGCGCAGTAGTAAGTAAGTAAGCGCAGTAGTAAGTAAGTAAGCGCAGTAGTAAGTAAGTAAGCGCAGTAGTAAGTAAGTAAGCGCAGTAGTAAGTAAGTAAGCGCAGTAGTAAGTAAGTAAGCGCAGTAGTAAGTAAGTAAGCGCAGTAGTAAGTAAGTAAGCGCAGTAGTAAGTAAGTAAGCGCAGTAGTAAGTAAGTAAGCGCAGTAGTAAGTAAGTAAGCGCAGTAGTAAGTAAGTAAGCGCAGTAGTAAGTAAGTAAGCGCAGTAGTAAGTAAGTAAGCGCAGTAGTAAGTAAGTAAGCGCAGTAGTAAGTAAGTAAGCGCAGTAGTAAGTAAGTAAGCGCAGTAGTAAGTAAGTAAGCGCAGTAGTAAGTAAGTAAGCGCAGTAGTAAGTAAGTAAGCGCAGTAGTAAGTAAGTAAGCGCAGTAGTAAGTAAGTAAGCGCAGTAGTAAGTAAGTAAGCGCAGTAGTAAGTAAGTAAGCGCAGTAGTAAGTAAGTAAGCGCAGTAGTAAGTAAGTAAGCGCAGTAGTAAGTAAGTAAGCGCAGTAGTAAGAGCATTTGCTTTAGAAGCAAGAGACCTATGATTCAAAGAAAGCTCCAGGCCATTGGTAAGGAAGGATCTTTGGACTTCCTAGTAAAATGCTTTTTCGTGGTACTCTGTGACAAAACAGTTAGGTCTTCTTGGGGCACTTAAAAGAAACAAGCAAACAAAAACATATAAAATTTATCTTTCATTTAAATGTGTTTTTAAAATCCAAACTCGTTTTGCAGTTGAATTCGGGCAACATAAATGACCAAAGTTCGTTTTTCAGTTAAATTCAGTGTACTGATATGATCTAAATTCCCTTTTCAGTTAAATTCACGTCTTAAAAATTTTACTTCACCGGTCCTTAATCTTTCATCTCGAACTGAAATACTTAAAACATGCGCATACCACAAACAAGAAACATACAAATGTGTCTACCCAGCCGGCAAATAACGTTGAAATATCGTTGAAACCTAACGTTGAATTAACGTTGGTTTAACGTTTAGAATGAAAGTTTTTTTCAACGTTAAAGCAACGTTAGGTTCAAACGTTATATCAACGTTGATTCGACGCGAAAAAACGTTACAACAACGTTGAATTTACGTTGATACAACGTTTAAAATGATAGTGTTTAACGTTGATTTATCAACGTTAAACGACTGTAAAACACTTTTTCACCATCAAAACGTGCTATGTATGTCAAAATGTATATATGTATGTAAACGTGCTATGTGCGTCAAAATATGATCACCATCAAAACGTACTATGCATGTACATTAGTGTTGCTGTACATTATCAAGGTATATTATGGATATTAAATCTATTCATAGTCTATACTTAGACTATTTAGAACTTTTTCAGTTTAGTTTAGTTAAAAAAGCTAGGTATGATTAAAGACAGAGATAAAACTTGTTTTATTTAAAAATACATATTCAAATATTACATATATTTACATGTAATTGAATAAAATCTACACAAATTTCTTCTCTTTTCCACCACCTTTTTGAAATAAAGCGTAATTTAGAAAATCAAACAATGTTCCATTAACCGAGGGTTCTTTTGGTCCATTGAATACAATAGAAGAAGCTGTAAATAAAAAAAATATATTAAAAAAATCAAAAAGGGAAGATTTAAAAAATAAATAATGAATGGAAAAGTGTTACATCTTATGAAGGCACATATCTTTCAACGCCATAAAGATAAGTGTTCTTAAAACATATTTTTCCACCTTTGCCCTTCATATCCATAGAGACCATATAACTTTTCGAAAATACTCTGAATTTTAAAAAAATAATATAACTGTTAGTTGGTTATTAATAACTTTTTCAAATATTTAATTTAAATATAAAACAACCTTTTTAATATATTAAAAATAAATTGGTAGTCAAAATATAAAACATTTCTAGCATTTAAAAATAATTTTCGGGGTAGCCACATAAAATTTTTATAAGAAATTTTATGTGGTCATTTATTAATGGTTTAACGTCCATGTTTATACACTTATGGGGCTGGGATCAAATAATATCATTTATTATGTTAAATGGCATGCATTTTCTAAAGCAATTTTTTACATTTCATGCACTTTAAGGCGTTAACCAGTTTTGCAGACCGAGAATGGGTATTTTGAACATTATACTTCCATCAAAAATTAAAAAAGGAAGAATTAATGAGGAGCTTTGATCAAATTTTTACCTCTTTAGAGGATAATAGAGGATTTTAGAAGTGGTTTAAAAAAAAAGAGGACTTTAGAGGATTTTAGAGGAGCTGCAGACACCCTGATTATAAATGAGGTAAGAGTCCAATACTGTTTTTGATTATCTCAGCATAATTTTGTGTATTCTATCTTTAGAAGACGTTCCACCAATTAACTAATTAATTTATCTGTAATTGATTTATCTGTAAAAAACATGAAGTAAATCTAATATTATGCTTGTGGCGATATATTATATTGTGGAGAACCATCCAAACCACACAAATGGAAAATTTACATCCAAGTTTCCACTTGTGTGCAAATCTTGCATCCACTTGTCAACATTCTCACTATCACATTTTTCTTTTGTAGTTGTGAATTTAAAATTTTCACTGTTTGCTTTCTTTTAGAATTGAAATAGTTATACAAATAGTTATATATTTTGTATCAACAAAATAACTCTTTTTACCACATTATTTAAAAAATAAAAATTGTAATATATAGATGTAATACCTGAAGAGAATTTAGTTTTTATTTGTATAAACTTAAGCTAATTCTTCTCTGCATTTTAGTGCAGTCAATGCTTTGGTACCTGGAAGCCGACAAACAATTTTATCACTAATTCAATTAGATGGAATTACTTCTTCTTATAAATCTTCATTCCAAACAGCTCCTTTCCGCATATTCAATTTTGAAAAAATTACATGAACTAATATAAAATGAAAGAACTGTAATATAAGTGTACTAACAGGCCTAATTAAACTAGCTAAATTTGGACATTTTATAACCATGATACTTGCTAAACAATAATATTAGTAGACATTATTAGCAAAGATAAGATTTTCTTTATTTTATAAATTTATTATATTTTAAACTCATTTCTATTAATTTATTTATTACTCTATTATTCAGCAGAGTTCTGAATATATTATGTTCAAATAACTTAAGGCTCAATAACAAAGACAAATAATGAAAGAATATTAGGTTGCTTAAACATAAACATCTACATAAGATAATTATGGTATATTGAAAAAAAATAGAAATACAAAGAAACAAAAATACTCATTATTAATATAAAATATAATAGTATAATTTAAGGCATATTATAATATATGACACAATATCGACTTTTAATTAAAATATAAAAACAACAAAAATTAAAAAATAAAATATTTTGATAAATAATAAATTATCATTCAAACAATTTTCAAGATCAAAAAATAACTTGTAACTTATTTTTTTACTTATCTTTATCTAATAAACATTACTTATTTTTCACTCATCTTCATCTAATAAACATTAATATTAATACCAATTTTAAACATTATTGGAACTTTTTTTTATCAAAAAATAAAAATATTACATAAGTTACTTTTTGGGCTTTTCTTATTTTACTTAAAACATCAACTCAATTCTAGACTTTTTTCGTAATTGAGTTTTAATTTGTAATGTTGAATTAACACTGAAAAAAAAAATATTAGCAGACAAAAAGAAAATATTTCTTTATTGAAATATATGTAAATATTTCAATAAAGAAATTTTAGATTGATTTTAATAAATATAAATTTATATCAATCAATCTAAATTTTTTTCTTTTCCGCCACCTTTTCGAAATGAAGCACATTTTTAGAAGTTAGACAAAATGCCATCAATTAAAGTTTCAGTCGTTCCATCGTATTTAATAGAAGAAGCTGTTAATAAAAAAGAATTAGAAAAAAAAAAAAAAAAAAAACACAAGGAGAAATTTTTGAATATATAAAAAATGAAAATAAAAAAGTTTTTCATATCTTATAAAGGTATACCTTTCACTACACCATATAAATTAGTGCTCTTAAAGCATATTTCCACCTTTCCCCTTCATATTTATGGAGATCACAAAATTGTTGGAAAATATTCTAAATTTGAATAGATAAGAGAACTGATATTAATTATGCGAGAACTAATATTAATTTTTTTTTTAAATTTAAATTGAACTCATTATCAAACATTTTTTTTGCTAAATAATTTAATCCTTAAAATTCCTGAATAATTCAAAATTATTTTAATTACCTCAGCATTTTGAAGATCAATTGCAATTGATTCACCTAAAAAACAACAACAAGTAAAGCAAATATTATTGTTTGAAATTTTAATTATCTTTATACAAATACTCATCATATTTTTAAAGTGACTGATAAAAATCGATTCAATTAAAATCACTTCATTCGTATTAAAAAATTAAAATTAAAGCCTTAATCATACATTATACAAGAGTATTTTGTAATACAATCTAAATAATTGTTGCGATATGTAATTTTTTTATCCAAAATTTAGCTTCTGTAAGCTTTAGAAATTTTTTAAAGAAATTATTGATGAATTTGGAGCTACAGGTACTAATGTTTTTATATTGCTGTAATGTTTGTATTCATTCCCTGTTAGTTTCTGTAAGTCAAAATTTTAAGGTGATTCCATAATAAATTCTGTTATATCTAAAATTTAGTGTTAGCCTGAATAATTTACTTTCTAAAATCTGTTTTGCATTGCCTGTCTTATAACATCTTTACTTGGAACAAAAACCATGTGGTTTAAAAGTGAGCTAGAAGCTTTCAACAATGAAGAAAATATTGCATTCGCTAATCCTAAAAATATATTAAACCTGTCAGCAAAATCAGCTGTCAATAATCCAAGTATTAGCATCATTAAAAATTAATCTTTGCTGCATTACATTTATTTTGGTCCAAGTAGTTAAGGATTTTTTTAAATTTCAAAAAACAGAAGTAAATGTTTTTTTTAATATCACTTTATCTCTTTTGATTAATGGTGATACTGCACTAACTGATGAAACACATTGACAGATGTAAGGCCAGTATAAAAGTCGCAAGATCTATTATTTTTAAAATAAATGTTTGTATACAAGTAAATCATATTAATACAAGTAAATATTAATACAAGTAAAATTTCAGGTCAGGAGTATGGTCTTCATGATCATCCTGCTACTGGTAACATGTAACCCAGTGCAACCTGTTCCATGTTCTGCTGCCTTGCAGGATTTGCTATCTAAGCAAAGGCTGGAAGGAGTGTTCTTCCTGTCATCAGTACTATCTTATATCAGTCATGCCTATAGTAATTTTTTTTTTTTTTTTTTTTTTTTTTCCCAAATATAGTTGGAGGTGCCTTAGTTACTGTATTAGCTCACCTGTAATCTATGTTATATGTATGTTTGTGTTCTGTCTGAACCTCTGGCGCGGTGTTCGCTCACCCGTAAGTTACTTTATGTTCTTTATGTATGTCTGTGTTCTGTCTGAACCTCTGGCGCGGTGTTCGCTCACCCGTAAGTTACTTTATGTTTATGTTTATGTTTTTTATGTTTTTTTATGTATGTTTGTGTTCTGTCTGAACCTCTGGCGCGGTGTTCGCTCACCCGTAAGTTACTTTATGTTTTTTATGTATGTTTGTGTTCTGTCTGAACCTCTGGCGCGGTGTTGACTCACCCGTAAGTTGATTTATGTCTATGTTTGTTTGTGTTCTGTTTATACTCTAATGCAGCATGAGCTCAGTAACTAACTACTTACTCCAACTACAAAACGTACACTCACCTTAGACTCCTGTATTTTGTTAGATGCAGTGTTTTTCCTAATGCACTTCCGAAATGTCATGCCTGGTTTTCTCAAAGTACTGTTGCGGGAAGTAACTCCTTTTAACTACTCCAGGTCAGGTCAGGATAATCAAGATCAATCTTGCTACTGGTATCACGTAACCCAGTACCACCTGCCACAAGCCCTGCTGCCTTGCAGAGTGTGCTCTTCTTATGCAAAGGCTAGGAGAAATAAACTCCGACTAAAAATTCCCCTGCCTCGGGGCTCTTGGTTGAGTAAAGGCTAGAGATGGTGTCTCGATAAAAACACTCATCTTGGGCAGATGTTAACTGCATCCAGCTAAACATCCCCTGCCTTGGGGCTCTTGGTTGAGTAAAGGCTAGAGATGGTGTCTCGATAAAAACACTCATCTTGGGCAGATGTTAACTGCATCCAGCTAAACATCCCCTGCCTTGGGGCTCTTGGTTGAGTAAAGGCTAGAGATGGTGTCTCGATAAAAATACTCATCTTGGGCAGATGTTAACTGCATCCAGCTAAACATCCCCTGCCTTGGGGCTCTTGGTTGAGTAAAGGCTAGAGATGGTGTCTCGATAAAAATACTCATCTTGGGCAGATGTTAACTGCATCCTGCTACTGTCTTGTAGAAGGCCTCTAGGCAAAGACTTTAGGGGTAAGCAGAAAAATTCTGCTAACCAGCCTCGAACCCCTTCTTCATCTATTAGGCTGGCGGATGTAACCTGTGGTACATTGTTTCCTGCTTAGGATGATGAATGCTGGATCTCCTTGACTCTACTCATAGAATTTTGCTTATGCCTCCTTGATAATGGCTATGCAAATCTTCCTGTTATCTCCATATGAGGGTACAGCTCTAAAACTCAGTTTAATGGTTCTGAGGCCGGCTGGTAGTAAGGTTTCCCGAACTCTGTGGTAGCTCTCAGAGAGGCTGATTCCATCAACAGCTGCAAAATATCAGAGTATTAACAGTGCCATGTTGCGCATGGATGGTGTCCCTGTTAATGCTTTTGGTGTGCATTGTCAAGGCCACATAAGGAGCCCTATGTCACGGCTTAGGGTTAATTAACAGGACTGAGACAACTGCATAGCTCATTGATTAGGAGGCTGTGCTCTATCTATGAATGAGTCAAGTTCTCATTAAACCCAAATCATGACCAAAGTAAGCAAAAATTTAAAACCTAAAAAACCATCCCCACCACCTAAATATTTTAATATATCTTTTACAAATATTCGCAGTCTACGAAGCAACTTTCCATCAGTTGAGTCTTACCTCCTGCAAAATTCACCAGACTTGCTTGCACTCAGTGAAACAAATTTAAGTTCTGCAATTCCTTCTTCAGATGTCAGTGTTGATGGGTACTATCCTTTGATTCGTAAAGACTCCAATAGTCACATGCTAGGTTTAGGGGTTTACATACGCATTAATTCCCCTATTTGTCGTGAAATCAGGTTCGAATCCTTTGACCATTCTTTTATGTGCTTTCGCCTAGCACCTCTTCACTCTATCACCTTTCTCTTCGTTCTTTATCGTTCTCCTTCTTCCCATGATTGCACTCTTTTAGATGTTATCTCTGATCAAATTGACCATGCCCTCTCTCTTTACCCCTCTGCCAATATTGTTGTTGTTGGTGATTTTAATGCCCATTACACTGAATGGCTTGGCTCTAACACCACTGATCCTGCTGGCACTAAAGCCTTTAACTTCTGCGTTTCTCAATCTCTTACTCAGATAGTTAACTTTGTGACTCGTTTTCCTGACAAATCTAATCATTTACCTTCACTCCTTGACTTATGTCTTGTCTCTGACCCTAGCTTATGTTCAGTTTCTCCCTTTTCTCCCTTAGGTGGTTCTGACCACGCAATAATCTCTGTAAATCTTTCTTCTCGTACTTCTTTTTTGGGCTCACCTTATCATCGCACCACCTACTACTACCCTAAAGCTGACTGGGATTCCTTTCGTGATTTTCTTCGTGATGGTCCTTGGGCTGATGTTTTTTCTCTCTCAGCTGACAAATGCGCCTCCTACGTAACCTCCTGGATTCAGGCTGGAATGGAAGCTTTTATTCCTTCTCGTCGGTTTCAAGTCAAGCCTCATTCTACTCCATGGTTTTCTCC